TAAAATACCACTCAGAATTACTACAAATATAACCCAATTTTCTCAAATTATTAGAACTTAGTTTTCCCATTCCATACAAACTCTCCTTATTAATAATGACATTAAGTATAGAGATTCTACTTTGCTAAACTTTCTCCCTGCTAAGGGTAAATTGATTCATCATTTCTGTCCATACACCTCTCAACAAAATGGCCGCGTTGAGCGCAAATATCATCACATTCTAAATAATATTCGTGCGTTTCTTTTGTTTGCCTCTTGCCCTGATAGGTTCTAAAGGGAAGCTGCTCTTACTGCTGTCTACACCGTAAATCATATTTTATCATCGCTCATCCATAATAGTACTCCTTTTGAACGTCTATATGGTCAGTCACCCAATTATAATACTCTTCACCCCTTCTGCTGTGTCGGTTTTGTCTTTATCCTTCCGCGTGAACGTTCCAATGGAACCTCGTACACGTTTATGTTGTCTTCTTGGTTAGAGGGTGGAGCATAAAAGTTATAGGCTTTAGGATCCAATCTCTAAAAGTGGCGTATATCTCGTCATGTTACTTTCTGGGGAGTGTCATATTTTCCATAATGTCTAAATTTTATGTCTTATCTATTTCTGATTCACATTTATTTCTGTTGTCACTTCCTCTCTTGTTTCCTAACTCTGATCCTACGATTCCATCTCCACATCCGGATCCTGTTCCAGTTGAAACTTTTGATCCACCTGACCTCGTCTCCAAATACTGATCCGACTGCAGTGCCTAGACCTGTCATACCTCGTTGATCATATTGAGTAAGTCATCCACCTACTCATTTGCGTGATTATCGCTATTTTTATGCTATCATATCTTTGCATAAGCCCAAGTCATTTCATGAAGCAAATACTAATCCTTTGTGGCAACAAGCGATGTCTGAAGAATTGCAGGCTTTAGAAAAGAATTGTAATGCTCACCTGACCTTGTCTCCTGGCGTAGCAAAAAATAAATAGTTGTCTCTCGTTCTAGCACTGAGTCCGAATATAGAACCCTTGTTGATGCTATTTCTGAGCTCATGTGGCTTCGTTGGTTACTTGATGATCTTGGCATACCTCACTCATCTCCTATCCCTCTGCATTGCAACAATAGAAATGCTATCCAGATTTCTCACAATGAAATTTTTCACAAGCACACCAAACACATCAATATTAACTGTCATCTTGTTTGTCATCATGTTACTCATAGAAATTTCAGACTATGCTCAGTCTCCTACGACAATCAAACTGTAGATATTTTCACCAAGTCACATCATCTTGTTAGGTTTCAGTCTCTCTTACACAAATTCAAGTTGACTTTTACAACGCTTATTTGAGTTTGAGGGAATGTTGGAATATTTATTACTATCTCCGTCCCAGATACCGTGTTTGCTACACTATAGACACGATATTTTAGGAAGGGTGTAATTAGTAGATAATTAAGAATGTATTAGTGAAAATAATTATCCTATAATATAAATAATTATAAATTAAGATTAAAATAACTAATTAGTTTAATTACAATTAAAAAAATAAAATTAAAAAATTTAAAATGAGATTAAAGTGTGTAATCATTTTTCAAAAAAGGAAAGTGACATGGTATGTGTGACGGACAGAAACAGCAACGTGGACATGGTATCTGGGACAGAGGGAGTATTATTTATTTTTATCCATTTTGGAGTATGACTAGGGAAAATTGCAATAAATATTCCGTATCTATAGCCAATTATCAATCTTGTCGGTCAATTGTCACATTGACAAAATATATTCCATAAGTGTCACTTTTTTTTCACGATTTTTATAATTTGGTCGCGCGTAAAGTTCGCGACGGATACAATCTCACGTGCGCAGAGTGGGATTGTGCTATAGAGGACAAAAATTGCAAAAATGTAACAACTGTGGATTTATTTTGTCAGGGTGACAATTAAAAGACAATAGTGATAATTGTTCATTTTATGGCCCTAAAACGCCTACACGATAAAAAAATGTAAATTCATTTTTAGACTCGGAATTTGAGAATTCGCACAAACCATCCGAAATGACCAAGCAAACCAACCATCGGTATCATTTTGTCCATCTAAGATCATTTAGGGACCCAAAAGTCTTAAACACTAAGAAAACATACACTCAATTTTAGACTCAGAATTACACAAAACTCGTACGATTAAACCGAAATGACCAAAAACCTTAAATGCTAAAAAAATATACACCCATTCTCAAACTCAGAATTACACAAAACTTCCATGGTTAATCCAAAATGACTACACAAACCAACAAGTAATATTGTTTTATCCATCCGATGTCGTTTAGGGCCCTAAACATCGTAAATACTAAAAAATGTAAAACTATTTTTAGACTTGGAATTGGAGGAAATTTGTACGTTTTATTCAAAACAACCAAACGAATCAACAAATGATTTGGGTTTTAAAAATTCTAAATGCAAAAAAATATAAACTCATATTTAGAATCTAAATTGAACGAAACTCGCATGATTTATCCGAAATATTAAAATATATTTAGAAGCAATATATTATATTTATATTAATTATTTTATTTAAGAGATTCGTACTTATTTAAACAATTTGTATATCACTATAAATATGTACGTATTGTTATGATTGTAATAGAGAATTTCATTTTTATATTATAACATGGTATCAGAGCCAAATTCTCTCCGGGTACATCCATGACCCGTTATATCCCGTATATATTTTTATATTTTATTGATGTATTTGCTTCTATCCACGATCATGCTGTCATTTTCATGCCATTGACAGAGTTCTATTTTCAACTTTAACGCCATTGAGAGTCCTGTTTTCGACTCTAACTCTATTGAGAGTAAGTGAGTCATGTTTCCGGCTCAAGATTTGTTGTGAGCGAGGGAGTCTTGTTTTCGACTCTAGTTCCATTGTGAACGAGCGAGTCATGTTTCCAACTCTAACGGTATTGAATTTTGATTCTGACTCCGATCTAGTGAATGACTACGCCACTTTCGGTCAATCTTGGCAAATTCAAATTCGTTTGTGGAAGATCTCGGGTATATCATTTTCGGTCACTTTTGACAATCTCAAGTTTGTTCGATCATATCTTGAGTTTACGAGGGGTGTTAAAATATATTTAGAAGCAATATATTATATTTATGTTAGTTGTCTTATTTAAGAGATTCGTAGGATTCTTACCTTATTTAGATGATTTTTATATCACGATAAATATCATTCTTATAATTGAAATAGAGAATTTCAGTTTCATATTTTTTTGTCAATATGAGGTCATTTTGTGCCCTAAAAATTCTAAATGCTAAAAAAATATAAATCAATAGATAAGGAATTTATGAAATTTACACGGTTCATCCTAAACAAACATATGAACTAAACAACATTGTTTTTTTGTTAGTTCAAAGTTGTTTAGAGTCCCAAAAAACTAAGACGCTAAAACAAATAAATTAATTTTTAGGCTCGGAATTGGACAATTATTAGTCTTTTTCTATAATTGTCATTCTAGCGAAATATATTCTACATATGTCATTTTTTTTTTTTTTTGTGATTTTATCCTTTAACGCACACTAAGTTTATGACGGTGTCGGTGTGAGTAAGATAGTGCTACGGAGGAATACAATCGCAAAAAAGTGACACCTTTATATATTTTGTCAATGTGAAGACAATTAAAGAATAAGAGTAATAATGAACTATAAGTATGAGATATTTATTGCAATTTTCTCGACTGTGCCTGTAAATAAATATATAAATCTTGACTTTATAATTAGTAATATAAAATTTTTTTTCCTCTAAAAACAAAATATTTTAACAGTATACATGACGGATATAAATGCTACAATAACCCATATGTATCATTCCGGCAATCAAATCACTCAAATAATTTCAATTGTACAATTGAAACTAAGTTAAAGACCAACTCATAAAAAAGCAAAAATTAAATAATTTATATAGAAAAATAATTTAATTTTATTAATACTTACATTAGACTCTTTTTTTTTTTTTTTTTTTTTTGTTTTTTTCCACAATGCCGTCGAATATGCAAATTTGCATAATCATATTTGAATATTTAGTGCAAACATTTCAACCCCCTCAAATATATTCCATAGAACAAACCAATATGAATTACTCTTCTACGCCAAATCCTACTTTAATTTTGTAAATAATTATATTAATTAAATTATTTAATAAAATAAATAAATATGTTAAATTTTTATATATTTAGTACAAATTTTTATATATTTAGGTTCGGTCAGGGAAAATAGTACAAATTTCATATATTTAGGTTCGGCCAGAAATTTATTAATTACGTAACTTGGTTGTATGTGTTGAATTTATTAATTACATAATAAAAATAGAATTATATTATTATATATAGAACTTATAATCACACCTATAAAGATAGCACAAAAGTATACTTTTTATTTATTTATTTTAATATTTCGAAAAAATGAAAATAATTTAATTAAAAAAATCTAGAAAAAGCTGGACACGACTATAATAATGTGGAAAAGAAGGTAATAATTGGTGTATGGGATCGGTTGAAATGTATGAAAGCAAACATAAGCATCCTTCTTTTGCAGAAAGATCTTCTTACACAATTGCAAAAGCTTTCAAACAAAACACCACTATGGTAAAAAGCCAACCAAATCAATTAATTAATTAATTGATTTGAATTAAAAAGCAATAGCCCCCAATCACATACTATCATTTTTTTTTGAATTAATTGATACTATTTCTCTCAATATACAATTTTTTATAATTAAGTAATATAAAGAATGTTACACATCGTAAATATTATCATATGTTAATATAATACAAATATATTAATTGAACTAACATACTGTAATAAAGCACGCAATACACAATTAATTTTAATTAAGTATTGTGTATATTATATTTATATTATTATGTACTTATTAAATCAACATATATATATATATATATATCAACAAAGCCCTAATGTATTAAATTAAACACTAATCTTGAACTTTGAGTACAATCTCCATACAAAAATGAATGAAAAGTTTAAGCAAAAACAAATTAAACCAACATGTATATGCATACATCGATCATTATGTATGTAATAAGCTAAACTTTCTAACTAGGGTTTGATCATTAACAAAAAATTGAAATGTTAATAGGATTGATTAGAAATCCAAATTTCTTTTCACATATATGAAAATCTTGATTTGATTTCTAATTGTGTTTATGGTTTCCATACCGAAGCCCATACCACCGGTTCATCCTTCCAAGCCAAAAATATCCCCGGCGGCGGTGCCGCCGATCGATCGCCGCCGATGCCGTCGTCGTCGTCTCCCGGTTTTACTAAAGACCATCCATCCCTATACCTCTTTAACAATGCCTTGACATCATCGACAACATCGTCGCTAAATCCAACGGTGGAGAATCCCGATCCTCGGAGCCTTTCGGACCATTGGATCGCCCTCTCCCTTCTCTCGCAATCGCCATCTCCGTCGAGATCGTCCGTACAGGCCAAAACCCTAACTATGCTTCTAGAACATTCTCGCTCGAGCATTAGCTTCTCGTTGCTCGTGGTGCCGAAGGAATCCTCGAGCATGTCGAAGTAGGCGGAGTTGAACCGGAGGCATTCTTCGAAGCATTTGGGGAAGTCGTCGCCGGCGAAATCGGCCTCTTCTTCGACGACGGTGACAACTTTCGGGGTTAGGGTTTTGATCATTCTGATGAAGTTTTCTCTTTCCCCCACGTCAACTCTTCTGAGGGCGCCGACGCAATTGACAGCGACGGCCTCACCGTCGTGCACGGCGAGGACCTCTTTAGTGAGTTGACCTAAATGGGCGAGCCCGGCGAGTACGTTGAACTCGAAGGGCACGCCCATAAGGCGCGCGAATTTCTCCATCCGCGGCGCGATTTCTTTCATGGCCGCCTTGGCAGCGGCGGTGGCGGCGACGGCGGTGAGCCGAAGGCGCGGCGTTTCGTCGGCGCGCATGGCTAGGGTTTCTAGAAGGGTGGGCCATTGGGTGCATAGAGTGTGGCTGATGTCGATGATGTGGATCGCCGGCGCACCGTCGAGGGCTTCGAGGACGGCGCCGTTGGATGCCACGTGGCCGAACGTGGTCCAGGGGCTGACTTCTTGGAACTTGAGGATGAGGCGGCGGAGGGAGTCGAAGGAGTGGCTTTTCTCAGCGGCGGCGACTAGGGTTCGGTGGCAGCGGTGGCCGGAATCGGTGGCGCGGCAGAAGAGGGCCTGGAGGAAGTAGGCGGCGAGCTTCTGATCGCAGTCGCCGTAGGGGGAGGAGAGCTCGTTGAGGGTCCACATCAGGTGGTGGATCTTGCCGGAGTTTTTCTCCGACATGGCGGCGGCGCACTCGCGGAGTAGTTTTGCGGCCCATTTTCCGGGGGCGGCGCCGGCGGCGTCCGGCGAGGCTTCGGAGGATCGGGTGGAGGAGTTGGTGTCGGTGATTGGTAAGGGAATTGATGATCCGTTGGAATGATCTGAATTGGGAACGAACATTGATGATCTATTGCTGATTGGATCCATTACTGTCTCCTGTTTCTACCACAATTGAGAATTATATATAAATATATATATATATATAATTAAATATAAATAGTACTATATACATTTCACTATTTTAGTATTTATAAAAATTTGGGGTTTGTTTGGGCTGTATTCGTATGTTTCATTAATTCATTATATTTCTAATAATTTTTTTCCCAAAATTAGCATATTTATTTTATTATATATACAGAGTTTGTTTATTTTGTGTTTTTTTATGGATATATATATTTTTATGTTATTATAAAAAAAATTATATTTTATATTTCATACAAGAAAATATATATGGTTAAACTAGCAGTTTGTTTCTATCATAGAACAAAAAAGATTGAATTTAATTAAATGTATCTTGGAATTTTTAATAAGGTCATTTTCATGATAATTTTGTTACATCTGTTTAGATTATAGGTAGAGCTAAATTAAGATAATACACACATATATATGCCAATTACTATCATTTAAAAGTGTTTATAGGGACATATTATTGTAATAAAAAAGTAAAATTGGAAATATGTGTTATATATTCCCTTTCAATTGTATGTTTTTTTAATTTTATGTTCCTATATTGCTAAATGCTATTGCTAATCAAATAATTAATTATTAATAATTTGTCTACTGTTCCTCTCTAAACATAATCAGAAACACCAATGATTGATCATTGTAGAAAATCACTTGTATATACCCAATGGAATCTTGGATTAAATAATTCTTATAAGTTATATCTATATGCATATATGTATGCTTATTAATTAAATAAAGGGTAAACTGTTTTTTTTTAGTCTCGTATCTAACCCACTTTATCATTTTAGCACTTTAAGTGGACCCTATTTGAAAATAGTCACATAAGTAAAATTTTTTTCGCTAAAATGGTCATTTGGCTGACATGTCATCGCCATGTAGATGCCACGTCAGCAACATGTGGATTTTTTTTTTTTAATTTTACAAAATATTTTGGTAAACTATTTTTTTAGTCTCGTATATAACACCCTTTATAATTTTTAGGACATTTAAGTGGACTATGTTTCAAAATAGTTCTGCAAATAAAATTTTTCGCTAAAATGGTCCTCTAACGTGGCATCTATGTGGCGATGACATGTCAGCCGCATCAACGCCATGTCAGTAACGGCTGCCAGCGTGGCGAGTTCGACACCGGAGGATTATTTTAGCGAAATTTTTTTACTTACGGGATTATTTTTAGACAGAGTTCACTTAAAGTTCTAAAATGATAAAGGGGGTCAGATACGGGACTAAAAAAACAATCTACTCTTGAATAAAATATAAATGTGTGTATGTATGTTAGTGCTCGATCAATAAATTATTTAAATGTTTTAGTATTTTGATTTGTTGTTGTTAGGTTAATAAGAACAATGAGATGATGATAAAAACAATATAGACGAGACAAGCAATGTATGTACAATGACTCTATTTTGACTCGGTATGATCTCCAAATCACACACACATCTATTGGTATAAAATTGTATCTTACCTATCAATTAACTAAAATTTAAGATTCATTAAGAACAAACATGTAATTTTATTGTCTCTAATGAATATGTTGTTGAACACTAAGGGTGTGTTTGGACGTTGGTTCAGTTTGAGAATAGTAAAATTATAAATTATATTAAATAAATATTCGATAGAATGTCTTAAAAGAAAAATATTTTTTTGATAATATATACATAAAAAATCATATTTGATAGTATTTTTTTTAGAGAAAATTATTGAAATATGTTGTTTATGTATCAATTCCTAAAATCATAACTTTTAATTTTCTATTTCAGTTGTTGATATACATAGTTCAATTATATTGAATTAATGGCCAAATTTATAGTTGAAATAATATTGTTAAAGTCGGAAATACCTAAAACTAAAAGACATGAAAGTGAAGTTATTCCACATTGGAATATTAGATGCCAAGACAAAAAAATATTTTATTCCAATCATTGGACTAACTAAAAAAAATTAAAATTTGCCTGTTTAATTATATTTAAGAGTATTTTGAAGTTTTGAATTGATTTTGAAGTAGTAAAAGTTGAATAGAAAATACAAATTTAACATAATTACGTGTTGAGAACGATGAATTTGTTCACTTAGAGGCCGTTAGGTTCATGAACTTTTTTAGTGGGATTGAGATTTCACGGTAGGATTTATATGTGATGAGATTTATTATATTTAGGATTTGGAATCCTACCCTATGTTTGGTTGATAAAATTACATGGGATTTATATTTCTCAAATATTGTTTGTTTTTTATATGAGTTGAAGGATTTGAGTTTTTTATATTCTAAACGACATAATTGTTCTCGTATGAATTTTATTTATTTTGATAAATTAAACCTCTAATTTATTATTAATATAAATTGAAAATATATCAATAATTTTATAGAGATGACAATAGGTTCGCGTTAAGTCGAGATCGACCTGGATCCGACCTATTTATTTGAGGTTGAGTGCAATTATTTGCGTATTAGGTCTAGGTCATGTTCGGGGTAATATATTAATAATATATCAACATATGAAAAAATAATTTCTAACAATATAATTATATTTAAAATAATTTTTAAGTTTAACTTATTCATTATTTTATTATGATATTTTTGTAAATAAAATACATACATTTTAATATATGTTGAGTCGAGTGCATGGCAATTTTAAATTAAAATTTAAGAATTGTAAACAAAAATTGGATTTTTCGGATCCCGGTCTTACCGGGTATAGTTTCGGTTGGATCCGGTACAATCAAATTCAATTTGGGTCAGGGATCTAACATTATATATTCGGAACAAATCTCAGTTCCCACTAAATCCGACTAATATTGTACCATAAAAAATAATATAAACTCAATTAAATATATAATTTAAATAATAATTAATTTAAAAATTATTTTATTTTATTTTATACAAATATATTTATAATATATAATATTATCTTTTTATAAGAGGATGTAAAAGTAAAAAAAGTAAAATTTCAAAGAATAAGATTTAAAAGTAACGGGGGTATCCTATACAAAAAAAAATCCTTCATTTGTAGGATTTTGTACCCCTTTTTAAATCCCATCATTCTATTTTTAACCAAATATGAATTTCATGAGATTTTAAAATTCAAATCCCATGGAATTCCATAAAATCCTTGAACCAAACAACTCCTCAGTGTTCTTCTGGATTTTTGATAAATATTTTCAAAAATATATTATTTACAAATAGTTACATAATATATACTATTTTATTAATTTTTTCAACAGGAGGTTAATGGGTGACACTATTATACTAAAGTATACCAATAAAGGCTAGGAATAATAAGAGCAGATTTGTGTTTGTTTGGCCCTTTTATTATTTCAAATAATAATTTTTATGTATGGTCCTTAATAAAAATAATATCTGTATATATATATATATATATAAAACATTAATTCAAATTACTATTATACAAATGTAAAACAATATCAAACTCAAACAAAATACAGACTCGTGTGTTTGGTTAACAAAAGTTGTAGTTGACATTATAGATTGTTTTTTTTTAATAAAAAATACAAATAAATAATAGTCCGACTCTAGGGGTCACATTTATTGTTTTGCGTATTGGTCTTTAAATATTAATTATTATATTAAAAACATAGTACAAATTAAGAAAAAATAGCAAAAATACTTTTATTAGTGTCTTATAATACTAAAAATTATACAAATATAAACATATTTTTAATGATAAATATAATGACGCAAAATATAAATATAACCCTTAGGAACAGATGAAATAAATATATTTTAAAGAATATATATACATTTTTTTTCTTTTTCGACAAAATACTACGTCAAAATATTATTTCAACTCAAAACCAAACAAACGTTTTCATTTTTTTTTTCAAATACTTATTTTTTTTAAAAAATAATAAAATAGAATTCAACGCACTCATAATATTTTGTTTTTATTTCTCTTAAATATATAAAAAGCTCTCTATTTATTTATTTATTCTATATAAAACAAATTTATGATAATCATATTTTATTTATATTATATACTACTATAATTTGATTCTTTAAATAATAAATTTCATAGTGATTTTTGTAGGTATAATTTTTTAAAGCATTTAAAATATACGTTGTAAATTTTTTTATTTTATCAAGTATATTCCATATTAAAACTCAATAATTAATCAAATAATGTCTCATTTCAAAAGATAAAAATTCAACTTTCAAAAACAATCTTTAACTTATACCCAACGTAGCAAAGGGAGAGCTCGATCTCCAATATAATGTATTTTACAGTTGAGTTTGTATTATACTTTTTTAACATATCATATACTCCTTCCTCCGTCCCATATCTATATATCCATTTATTTTTTTGCGCGAAATTTTAAAAATATTAGTATTATATTAGGATAAAATAAAAATAAAGGTAAAAAGACTAAATTAACCATATTAATATTGTATAATATAAATGTAATGACATCTGTGTAATATATTATAAATTGGAAAGGTATTTGTAACGTTAGATAGATAGTACAATTACTTAAAAAAAAAAAAAATGAATATTTTGTCATGATACCGACTAAAATGAAAAAAATTGTTAAGAAACGGAGAGGGTATCATTTTTAAAATTTTATTTCTTTTTAGTGCAATATTAAGATAAAGTTATCAGGGAAAATTTGTTCACAATTCGTAACAATAATTGTTACAATATATATTTTTTTCTCACTATTTGTCGTGGAAATCTGAAACAAGCTAATAATTTTATTAGACTCTAAAATTGTTGCAATTTTATGCGACAATAATTATATATAAAATAATTAAAATATTGTTGTAGTATTTTGCAATAATATTTTATTTTTATTTTAATTTTATTGCGACATTCCATCGTAATAATATATTTTCTTATTCTTTTATAATAAATATTATTAATTATTGTTAAAATTTTATTTATTTTTATAGTTTGTTGCGAATGTTTGCAACAAACTTTTATAGCAATAAGTGAGGTTATTTTA